CCAGCTACTCAGGAGGCTGAGGCAGGAGAATTGCCTGAACCCAGGAGGCAGAGGTTGCGGTGAGCCGAGATCGCACCATTGCACTCCAGCCTGGGTAACAAGAGTGAAACTCCGTCTCAAAAAAAAAAAAAATTATTATCCTCACCTAGGAAAACCAGGTTTCTTAAGTTTTCTAACATCACATTTCTATATAAATTCTGCTGTGCTGTGTTCAGGTATAGCCACTCCTCCAGAGAGAATTCCATGGCCATATCCCTAAATGTCAATGGTCCCTGAAAAAAAAAATCACACACACACACACACTCTCTTTTAGCAAGTGAACATGAGCAGAATTTTTTTTAGGAGATGGAGTCTCACTCTGTCGCCCAGGCCCAAGTGCAGTGGTGTGATATCAGCTCACTGCAACCTCCACCTCATAGGATCAAGCAATTCTCCTGCCTCAAGTAGCTGGGATTACAGGTGCATACCAACACACTTGCCTAATTTTTGTACTTTTAGCACGGACAGAGTTTCAGCATGTTGGTCAGGCTGGTCTTGAACTCCTGACCTTGTGATCCACCTGCCTCAGCTTCCCCAAGTGTTGGGATTACAGGAGAGAGTCACTGCACCCAGCGGAACAGAATTTTTGACTCAAGGTGAAATGAGAGAGTAAAGAGAACTGGTTCTGACTTACAGGAGTGACTGAAATTATCTAATAAAATAATTTTCAACACAGAAATATTCCCTGATGTATTCTGTAATCTGAGAAAAAAAGAGTGGCATAAGGTCCACAACATCAGTGTATATGTGATCTTTTTTCTTTTTTTTTTTGAGACAGAGTTTTGCTCTCATTGCTCACTCAGGCTGGAGTGCAATGGTGCGATCTCAGCTCTCCACAACCTCCACCTCTCAGGTTCAAGTGGTTCTCCTGCCTCAGCATCCCAAGTAGCTGGGATTACAGGCATGCGCCACCACACCTGGATAATTTTTTGTATTTTTAGTAGAGATGGGGTTTCTCCATGTTGGTCAGGCTGGTCTCAAATTCCTGACCTCAGGTGATCCGACCACCTTGGCCTCCCAAAGTGCTGGGATTACAGGTATGAGCCACCGCACCCACTCCTATATAATATTTTTCTGAATAATAAAGCTTTAAATTAGAGATACAAACAACAACATGTGCATTTTTTGGTGCTACATTTATACCATACAGAATGAACTGTGCATATTTTTCAGATCAAAGAGACATGCTGAGTTAGCAGGTACCTCTCAAATGTTAATGTGTACAATAAATTGAAAACCTTCTTAATGCAGATTATTTTTTCAGAAGATCTGGAATAAAGTTTGTTGAATTTCTAACAAGCCCACCAGTAATGCCAATGTTTTTGGTCCAAAAGTACTATTTTGTCAAACTTCCAGTAAGTGAAAATATTTTTCCCAGTTTTTCCGGTCTGTAAACAAAGATGAGAGCCTTCGTTTTCCAAAGAGTGATATAAGTAAAGAAAACCTAAGAAAGAAAGGCAGCTGCCAGATTAAATATGATTTATGTACATCAGCTACATAAAGATACTTAATGAAAAGAAACAAATTAACTCTGCGGTGAAATAAATCTGTGAGAGGGCTCTTTAACCAAGTGAATCATTACCATCAAGTGCATTAGGACAAATTTTTATGACATGCTGGTACTTGCAGAAAGACACAGCATCAATGCTGTGATATTGCCACCCCAAAAGTGAATTATAGTCTGAATTTAACCATAAAGATATACCAGTTTTATGCAAAGTTCAACATACAGATATCTCCCATGTTCTGTCATATATACATATATATGTATATATATATATTTTTTTTTGAGACGGAGTTTCGCTCGTTACCCAGGCTGGAGTGCAATGGTGCGATCTCGGCTCACCGCAATCTCCACCTCCTGGGTTCAGGCAATTCTCCTGCCTCAGCCTCCTGAGTAGCTGGGATTACAGGCACGCGCCACCATGCCCAGCTAATGTTTTGTATTTTTAGTAGAGACGGGGTTTCACCATGTTGACCAGGATGGTCTCGAACTCTTGACCTCGTGATCCACCCACCTTGGCCTCCCAAAGTGCTGGGATTACAGGCGTGAGCCACTGCGCCCGGCCCATGTTCTGTCATTTTTAATAGTGATTTTAAGTAGTCTTTCTTAAGCACTCTAGAGAGCAAGTATCTCCTAATATTTATTTGCTAGAACTTTCTAAATAATAAATATCATCCTGTTTAAATAAGCATTTTCTTAATCCTGTTCTGCATGGAGCTAATAGAGAACACAGACCAAACCTTATCATTACACATCCTCCAACTTTACTAAGAACCCCAGCTTTTCCCAATAGGAATATTGAGTATCCACACCTTCCCGTGTTCAGTAGCAACGAAGGGAACATTTTCAATACTGTAGATTATAAATTCATTGTGAGAATTTTGCATGGCATATAAGAAGCCATGAGGTAGCTCTGACATGTAAGAAATATTTTTCAGAGGCCCCTGACTACCATACTGATTTTAAACAGTAGTTAAACTCGTTAGGGAGGAAAAGCACAAGAAGAAAAGTAAGTTCGCAAGTATTAAACACATGGTATACCAGGAGGGAAAGTGGACACAGCTGATTTAAGACATGTTTAGCTGGAAAAAAAAAAAAAAAGCCATGTTTTCTTCTTTCTCCTCCTCCTCTGAAATTCCTGCTGAGATGAGATTCTCTGGACAAATTATACCTGCATCTTGAGAATATGTCCTTTTTTTTTTTTTTTGAGACGGAGTTTCACTCATGTTACCCAGGCTGGAGTGCAATGGCGCGATCTTGGCTCACCGCAACCTCCGCCTCCTGGGTTCAGGCAATTCTCCTGCCTCAGCCTCCTGAGTAGCTGGGATTACAGGCACCCACCACCATGCCCAGCTAATGTTTTGTATTTTTAGTAGAGACAGGGTTTCACCATGTTGACCAGGATGGTCTCGATCTCTTGACCTCGTGATCCACCCGCCTCGGCCTCCCAAAGTGCTGGGATTACAGGCTTGAGCCACCGCGCCCGGCCTGAGAATATGTCCTTAAAGATGTCAGCACCACCTGTTCACCTGCTACCACCACACTCACAGGCAGAAGTACAAAGACCTGCAGAAAAAGTCCACCCACTTCTGTCTAACAGAAGAGATTCAGGAGCCGCTCCATGAAGACAAAAATGTAAGTTTCTCCTTTCCTGAACTCAGGTGCCCTCCCCTGCCACAGACTCACACCAGCAGTTTCTGCTACAGAAATGACAATGTGGCCCACACTGCCCTGTCCCAACCAAACCAAAACAGCAGGCCCTGTGACCACCCTGCAGTGCAAAGGTGGGACTTAACTCTCATGCATGTATCTTGAAGCCCTCATATCTGATTCTGGCTTCACCTGAGAGTCACATGAGACAATTAAAGCAACAGAGATGCTTCTACCCAGAACAATAAATGGGACCTGTGGAAAGGGCACAAGTAAGGAGATTTCTGCAAACTGGCATTGCCTCTCAACCTTTTTTTTTTTTTTTTGAAAGAGAGTCTCATTCTGTTGCCCAGACTGGAACACAATGGCACAATCTTGGCTCACCGCAGTCTCCACCTTCGGGGTTCAAGTGATTCTCATGCCTCAGCCTCCCAAGTAGCTGGGATTACAGGCATGAGCCACCAGGTCTGGCTAATTTTTGTATTTTTAGTAGAGACAGGGTTGGCCAGGTTGGACCTCTCAAGCTTTAATGAGCTCAAAAACCACTTGGTAAATTTAGTCCCACTCTATGTAATGTGATTCTGCAGGTTTGGAAGGGGTCCAAGTGGGCATTTTAAACCAGTCCTCTTTCAACGCTCATGTTACTACCCCTGGGCTCATTATTAGCATTAGTTAGAGAAAGCAGGCACAGGCCAGGCGCGGTGGCTCATGCCTGTAATCCCAGCACTTTGGGAGACCAAGATGGGCAGATTACCTGAGGTCAGGAGTTCGACCCTATCTCTACTGAAAATACAAAAATTAGCTGGGCATGGCGGCAGGTGCCTATAATCCCAGCTACTCAGGAGGCTGAGGCAGGAAGCATTACTTGAACCCAGGAGATGGAGGTTGCAGTGAGCCGAGATTATGCCACTGCACTCCAGCCTGGGTGACACAGTGAGACCCTGTCTCCAAAAAAAAAAGAAAGAAAGAAAAGAAAAAAAAGGAGAGAAAGGCAGAGCAGAGTCCCTTACACTCAAGCACTTTTGTCACAACACAAGTATTTCTGGTACGAATGAAGACAGCCAATCTCCATCCTCACGCGTCATATTCTTTGCTGGCTCTTTAAAGTTTACACAAGAAACAGAAGGCAGCAATGTCTGAATGAGTCTGCATTAGAAAAACAACACGTACACATGTACTACTGCAATGTTTACTTAGCAGGTACTATGTGCTCAAGAGTATGTTAAAAGCACTGTGCTGGGAATAACACATTATGCAATTTCATCTGCATAACACCCTGAAACTTGGTACTAAGAGATTAACAATTCCCAAAATTTAGATAAAGGGCCCAGCATTTTTATTTCTTCTGTTTCTCTGTTATTGGTTTTTAAAAAACTGTAGAGAATAAAAGCTAAATATAGAACAGATGAGAGGAATACTGAAAAAAAAAAGTTTAATGTTTAGAGAAATTTTTATGTTTTTATTTAATTTTTGTGACTTGTGGAACAACTACTGGATCTGCAGGAATAAAAACCAAGTTGCTAACTAGACTGTCTCTGCAAGTACTGGTTTTAATAGAAATTAAGAAATAAGACCCTAAAATACATACTTTTTTTTTTTTTTTTTTTTG